AGCTGAAGGAGTGGAGTATGTATTATGCAGCTTTAGTGCACCCGGTACAAGGGGAAAAGTCACCCTGCAAACAATAGCATATGAGAACAAGGACAGAAAAGTGAAATCACTTCCAGCAATATCTATGTCTGAACTGCAGGGAGAGCCTCGCAAATATGGCAAACATACAGTCAGCATCCACATGACATTTTGCCAGCAGATAATCACTGAGCACTGTGGCATTTAAATGAGGAGAGTTAATTTTAGGCTGATGAAAAATGTTGTCTTGACAGCCCCAGGGGTTGGGATATCTCTACCCACTGAGAAAGTTCAGGCCGTGTAGCCGTACTGAAAGATTCAGCTCTACTCTTGATGTGATCAAATTGAAGCCTGTGGCAATTTCTTGGGCTGGTAGAACGCTTTGTGGTGCCCTTGCCCTCTCCCGTTAAACTGCCGGTAAAGGTACTGGCTATGACAGCATGTTTGACGCAAATATGCGTCCTCCAGCAGTTGGAGAAAGACTGCTGGTGCATCTCTGGATAACCAAACAGCTGCAAATGCAGTTAGATTTGGCCTGTGATAATGAAATTTGATTTTATCTGGTAACCTGAGGGTATACAAGACCTGGAAATCAGGAGCAATCGCCGTTTTCCCGAGCAGCGCGGCAGAGCCAGGCGCGCGTCTGCTCCACTTGCATAATCAGGGGCGTTGCGAGCAGTGAAACATTCAGAAACCATTGAGTACGCTGCAGAAAACCCAGGCTCCTCACCGAGCGAGCCATCAAATAACCGCTTTTTGTCAGCACGTATTAACATTCCTTTGTCTTTGATAAAATGTAAGCTGCCTGATCCCAACTGATTTTGATGACAGAAAAGTGCCTTATTGGTAGAGTTCCCTGACACCTATTTTACACACCAGTCTTTCCTCAGTGACTCTCTCTCTTCTCAAATGTAATGAAACACCTGGTTTTATACACATAGCAATATATTTTGCATCTTTTCATCTGCTGGAAACCAGAAACGGGCCATTTCGGAAGGCATCTATGGCTGCCTTAAACAGGAACACGCACAAACTCTGTTATTGATCCTGTGATGTAGTGACTCCAGCCAACAGACAAAAAATCCACTTCTTAAGATTCTGCTATAATGACATTATCATTAAAACTCTATGAAATGTTTATTGCAGAATTTGAAACCAGGAGACAGTCCTCTGGTCTCCAGCTTTCTGAAAAGCCTGGAACTGGTTCCAGCTTTATTGAAAGTATGGTGCATCTGCTTCTAACTTTGTACGAACATTTTTCTGGTTTCAATTAAAATTGAGTTTTGTTTGCAACTGAAAGCGAAGCTGCTGAATTAAGAGATGAGAAAGCTGTAACTAAACCTTGAAAGCTGAAGATTTGACATATCATTTCACATTTTCCACAACTGACAGATTGTACGAATTTATATTAAACATATTTTTTCATTTTTAAACCAGATTGTTTAGGAGAAAATTAAACTTCTAATGGTCTTACTATCCGGAAAATACAATACACTTGAAAAATAGAAATCTCTATGACTTTATTTTTAACTAAGTTTTGAACTAACTAACTACTTAGACTGACCAAGGGGGAATGAGGATATTCCTTTGGTATGAAGCTTATTGAAATGAAATGCCCAAGTCACCAAACACCACTTCTCTAGAACTATACCACATATCTGTGCCACTTAAACCCAAAATGTATCTACTTTAAGAAAAGGATTAACAGCCTTTATCAGGGCCATAAATACTACGATTATTTTTGCAAGAAATTCTGAGAGTTCGAACTCTTCCCTCAATTTCTTGTGCTCTCCGAAATGTCGGTGCTTCGGGGTTGCACGAGACAGTGCTCCTGCACTGAAGTAGAAGGGCAGAGGCAAAGCCGGTGCGGTTCTTACGGGTGTGAGTACGGGACAGAACCAACACCAGGGATGTCCCGCGGGCTCGGATAAGCGAGGCTCATGTAATAAAGCCGCTGGTTTTTGCAGAGAGCCCAAGGCCGTGTATGACAGATCTTAGCCCAGCGACTTCCTCCGCCCCACCGCAAGCCGAAACTCCCATATTCCGGGCGCAGAGGGCACCGCGCACATTGTATGGGAGTGGAAAGCAGCTGCACCCATGTGCTCTTAATAAAAGTAAGGTTTATTGTTTCCACACCTCTTCTGTCATCTTTTTGCAGTTACAGAGGCAATAATTAGCTAGGGACATTACAGATGCATTAATTAACCAGGCTGGAGAGCACAGGGCAGCCGGCAAAGCAGGTACTTAATGGAATTTGAAGCAGAGACAATGCTGTTGTTTACTGGGTAATGTAGGAGTTGCCAAGCAGTATGTCCCCACGCAATTAAAACACCACTGCACATGTGCTAAAAAGGAATATTTGAATGGGATTATGGAGCAATTACAAGTTGTCTTATTGTGCTGGCTCTGTGTACCCCTGGGGTTACAGCAAGCAGCTACTGCAGGACGCTGGCAGTGTGCAGTATTTGGTTGCTGAAAGCTTTCTATTGTTCCTTCCTTAATTGAATCCTTACAGCAGGAGATAACGAGGATTGTGTCTCTGGAGTGCAGGTTCACTGTCAGGTACTCTCCCCGGGGAAGGAGCTATTTCAGGCCCTGATTATAGAGTTCCCTTAGGATGCCTCAGCCCCTCACATTCAGCAGGGACACCCCATCTTGGCCTTGGGGACTTCTACGTGATGCCTTTGTGCAGCACTTGGAAGGCCAGGGTCGGAATCAGCCGGTTCGTTCACAGGACCCAGTCCTGCGAGCCTGGACCATCTCCTCTCCTGCTCTCCTCGCTGCGCTCTCAAAGCCCTCAGAGCTTGGAGGAGGCACTTGAAACCTTCCTGATTTCTGGTGCAAAACCAGCTCTGTCTAAAGGAAAACCAGCTAGTTTATTTTAACTGTCTCCTTACCGTACCTGCACAGGCTGCTGGTTGTCCAGCATTCTGGCCTCCCAGCATGAGGCAGCATCGGAAAATGGGATTAGCCCTGCGTTACTGACCTCGGAACAGCCCGCAGTAAAAGCCCTTGCCCAGGGAGGTCAACCGTATGATAAGCGTCAGTGACACAGCTCTCCTGAGAAGAACTGTAGCGGGACTCCAAAATTAGCAGGACTCCAAAATAAGCAGGACTCCATGAGCTGCTCTTTGCTAGCTGATAAAAGGGAATGAAGATTAACCAGTCTTCACCTCGAGGACTGAGGACTCCAGGCAGGTGATGCTGCACGTTGTAGTGTCACCGTATAGTCAGGAGTGGTCTCTGCGCTGGTATTTACTCGTCAAGCAAAAGCTGATGGTTTCCTGAAAAGATGCTGTACCTCAATAGAGTTTCTCCGAAAGGCAAAAACACTTGGGGTAATTTTCTTCTTCCATTATTGTATTTTTCATAGCAGCCTCTGCACTTCCCGGTTCCTTCCGGCCCAGGAAGCAGCACACTATGACTAACCCAGTACTTGTTGTTCCTGCCCAGAAGCAAATACTCCTGCAGATCTTGGGGGCAAAAATTGGCTTTGCAGGCTGCGATACAGAACTGGAAATTTCTCAGTGTTGCATGTGTCACTGTCCCTCTTTTCCCCTTTCAGGATCCCAAAGCAACTAATATACTCCCGGCCTGATAGCTTTAAACTAAGGAAAGCAATAAGAGACAAGTGAAGCTTTCCAGAGAGCTTGCTTGCGTGGGTGTCTTTTAATGGACTGTAGCAATTAAGAGAACAAAATATTCGTCTTTTCACAAAGGTGCTTTTTATTTTTTCTTAAGGAAAGGAATTTTCTGATTGCCCTGAGCTCATGTGGTGAGAATACATGATATGCTCTTCACTGAAGCAGCTGACACTGATATTTTTCCCCCTATGCATTGCTTCAGGTTTCTGTTTGTGCGCTTTGGGCTGCAGGAGTTAGACTTGGAAGTGGTGGCCATGAATTCTGTGAATTCTGTGAGTTAGACTTGGAAGTGGTGGCCGGGAACTGGATCAAGTGCACGCTTTGAATGTATTCCAGTCTGGCCTATCTCTCACCCTCCAAAAGAGAACAGTGGGAGGACTTTGTGAGGTCAGGTTTTCCCAATTTCACCAGAATTAATTCCAAATTCGTAACATGATGAGGACAAGCAGAAGACAAATATTTGGAAGAGAAGTCAGCCTTGACATTGGCAGGTGATTCCAAGGGAATGCGTTTGCAGTTAGGCCAGTGCTAATGCCTATCCCAGCCCTGCAAAGCTCCTCTTTGATCTCTTTCAAAGTAAACAAATAAACTCTGATCCTTGGGGCTGAGAAGCAGCTTGACAAATATCAGTTCTCTATTTCCCACTGTTCATTCAATCCACAATCCATTAATAACATGGAATTCAATATGCTGATGAGCCTGGCTGTGTGTTGTTGTGGGTTTTGGTTCTACCAACCCCGTACAGTTGGATTGAGCCCTCAGGAGGTATTTAAAAGCGAGGTGGCCATATAAATCACTAGGAGTTGTGGCCCTCTCCACCTTTCAGGCTATACGTCTGGGTGTCTTAGCCTAAGTGCAGGAGGGAACTGCTGCTACCGCTGAAGACGAAGGGGGATGGGGTCAGGCACAGTGGGAGCGCAGGGCAGTGGTTCACTCTGCTTAGGGGCTGTGTGGGTCAGGATTTGAGGTGCACCGGCAGGGCTGGATGTCATTCTAGCATGATGCACCAGAAGGGCTGTTAGTATCAGCCACGCAAGCAACACCTCAACAGATCAATGTGAGGACAGAGAGAAGCTGCTTAGTGGTACCAGACTTCAAACCCATAAGCACAAGGGTCGGGAAACAGTCTGAAGATGCGGCGATGAATCCATCCCTTTGCCTGTGAGTGCTCAGCTTTTTCATGGTAGAGGCTTTTGTGAGGCTTATTAAGCGAAGACCTTTTCTGTGTCCCAGAGCAATCAGGTATGGAGATAACATGAAAGTGCTTTTAGATGAAAGAAGTGGTTGGGTGAGCACGTAAGGAAGCTTTGCATTTAACATCCCTCTGTTTCTACCCAGGGATGACTTGCCAGGCTCGCAGCTCCTACATGGACACCGAGGTGCTGTGGGGACATCGCTTCACTCCTGTCCTCACCCTGGAGAAGGATTTTTACGAAGTCGACTATAACAGCTTCCACAGCACGTACGAGACCAACACTCCTGTGTGCTGTGCCAAGGAGCTGGCCGAGTCTCGCCGGGAAGGCCAGCTCCTCAGCCACCTCTCCAGTGCCACCCTCCTGAGCGGAGGCAGAGAAGCAGAGACAGCAAAAGAAGAAGAGGAGGAGGAAGAAGGCGGCAGGGAGCCGGCAGGATTGAATGGAGCCAATGGGACAGCAGGAGAGGTGAAAGAAGATATGCCTGTATAACACATGAACTGCTGGACAGTAGATACCCACATACACTTACTGGGAGACTGTGGCCTGGCGAGTCGGGAATTGACTGGGAGTCAGAGAGCTGAGATTTATCTCCAGATCTCTGCTGCCTGCTGCTTGATCCTGGCAGTCACTGCACAGCACTGTGCCTCAGTTTCCCTCCCCTTTTATCTGTACAGTGAGGTTCCGAGCTTTGCAGTCCTTTGCAAAGCATTTTCATCTCCATGGACAAGGCTCACTAAATATGATCACTGTTAAAATTGAAATTCCCACCACTGGTTGTGTCAAAAAATGTTCATTGGAGGCTCAGAACTCTTCCCCCTTGAGAGGGTGTTTAAAAAGTAAAAGTCCAGAATGTCCCATCTCAGTATGAAGAATGTGGTTTCATACCTTCACTTAATTTGTGAATCAATGTATTGTAGACATTGTTACTGCTACATTAAAAGAAGAGGAAAAAACCCTCTCTGGTATGTAGTGAAGTGTTTTGCCTTCAGGAATTTTACAAATAGATTTTAGTGTTTTCCTCCAGGATCACAGTTATGCAAAACATCTGATATAAACAGGACAACTTTCCCTGCAAACCTTTAGCATGTTTATCCACTGTTTCTGACTTTCTTCTCAAACTGAAGTGCTATCTTTGTGTATTCTTTTCATGGAATCTCTGACACATTATTAGGCTGTCCATGGTCAGAGAAAGTTTAGATCTTGCCCCAGTGAAGGTATTTTCCTGGCCTGGATGGCCCAGTTTCAGTTCTGCTTGATGATTTAAAACAAATTAAGGAGCAATCTGGGAGTTTGAAATGTGCTGGAAATTCAGACAGAGTCCCTGGAGTAGGTAGAGTGGGTAAGTAACAATTTGCAAAATTCTCTGCTCTTCTGTAAAGTGCATATTTAAAGGAAAGGTTTAGATGCTGATGTTCCTATAGCTAACGGGAATGTGCACGGACATAACTGGAGCCGTCTGGTCAGGCTGGTGCAAGCACGTTAGTTGGTGTCCAGCTGCACACTAGGAATCTTAAACATGGTTTTGCCTCTTGATATTAGTACAAAGACAAGATAAACTGGAAATAGAAAGCAATGGTCTTATCGACATGTAAACAAATAGGACAATACTATCTATAGGGGTCAGAGATACCATTTGAGACCTGATGTTATAATGTAGGTAAAAGAGAAAATTGTATTTTTTTCTGAGGGGGGTGGAAAAATGAACATGACATGACTTTGTTGTACTTAATACCATGTTAAGATTCAGAAAGTCAGCTCGGCCTCCAGGAATAGGAGTTACTAGGAATAATAGGAGTTAATAGGAATTACTATTATGTTATACAGTAAGTTTCAAAGTGAAGTAATTTCATTTGAAATGCTCATCAGTTCTAGAAGGCATCTTACAAACTTTGAGAGAGTAGTATTTTCCAAAAAGGTCTCATTTTGTTTTTTGTGCTCAGCTTCCTCTTTTTCCATTCGAAGCCTCAGAGGAACAGAGGGAAGAAAACAGGGAGAAAAAGGTTTGTTCCTTTTCTGAGACCCTCACTTCTCACCCTACCTCTGCAAAATAATTATGTGTCAAAATTGTTTTTCAGAATATTTTTATTCTGTAGCTGAAGTGAACTCCTAAGGTAGGCAACAGTACTGGAAATTAAAAGTATAACTGAGCTGTGCAAGTCAGGCAATTTCAGCCCCTCAGAGAGATGTTAGATAAGCTCTGCCCAAGGAGCTGACTTGTCCAGCTCAATTCAACATGAGAGGGCTTGCTGGGTCCCTGACGTGACGCAGAGATAGAGAGCTTGGAAAATGGCACTAGATTGCCTCTGCACCTTTCTGCTCCGTCCTGGCTGCCAGAGAGAAGCTACCCGTCTTCCCATGGCCCCCGAGTTATTTCATCTGCTCGTTACCCTTGAGATTCCATCACACAAAACCGCTCTTTCCTCATACTGTCAAGTCTGAGCAGTTGTATATCCTACATGCTAGGAATTTTTGTTGTTGCAGGTCAGGTATTGCTAGCAGAAGAATTGCTGAATGGTGAGTAGTGCGGCGGGGTACAAAGCTCTCAGAACGCAGGGGAAGTAAGACAAGAACGGTGTTTCTCCCCACTTCAGCAAAGCCCTTAAGCAGCTGTGTACTCAGTTGGCTTCATGGGCTGTTTCTGTGTTTGAAATTTGCAAATATGCCTAAGTACCTTGTTGAAGCGATGCTTCAAACAGCGCCAGGGTGAGCAGTAGCAAAAGAACTTCCCTGACTTTCCTCAAACAGGAGAAACATCCTTCTGTGTTTTTTAATAAGCAGAGCAGATCTGGAGGAGGATATCCTCCAGAGCTGAATGCGCCTTGCATTTGCTATATAAAAGGTGGGGAACCGTATTTTCAAGTTGTATAGCATGGCAATCAGTTCTGTGGGTTTTGGTGATGCAACCAAGCCGTACCCTTCCCAAAGCATTTCAGGGAGGCCCCAGGACGGTCCCATGTTCTCCTTTTCCTGAAATGTATCCCAAAGAGAGATTTAATGTAGTGAGCGTATTGAATGTTCTGAAAGTAAGGGAGAGAACCTCTTCCAGAATTGTCATCTCTGAAAAGTATATCAGTTTCCCTGCTGTTCTGCAAGCATGTGCAGGACAATAAACCATGGGAATAAAAGCATAACAGACCCACTCCGTGCTGCAAATAACATTTAAATACAAGTCTGCATCTCTTCTGTGAGTTGAAATAGCTCACATAGATATATCCACCCACATAAATATCCAATATATACTATACACTCATCAGCCTCCATCCTTTCAAAAATATTAACTAATACTCCACAAGAAACATTTATAACCTGTAAACACACTATTCATGCACAAATAACCATTCATATTTATATAATGGACCCAGTAAACAAGCTAAAAATACATATTCAAAACACGGAATAATTACATCTGCCTTATAAATGTATCACTGCGAGGCAAAATTCACAACAGCATCCATCCCCAATGGCGTGCACTTGGGTAAGTGTACATAACACAGCCAACTCTCCTGCCACACGCATGGCAGCGGCTCTCCGGAGCTGCCCGCGTTGTGCGGGTCCACAAAGTGTACCCAGTTACTCACAAACACCCCCCACACAAACTTACATTCCCCAAATCTGCATTTTGAACCCCCACCTGAGGACTCTCTTATCATGGTGAGTCCAGGCGCCTCCGTACAGACATACACACGCAAATTACCTTTCCAGCAGGCAAACCTCCACCTTCAAATGATTTCCCGACAGCGTGAGGCTAAACCCTGCATTGCACCGCACAAACACAGCGTGTAACCCTCAGCAGTGCAGTCAGGAAAGTAACTTAATCTCAGGTGTGTCTTTCTGTCCTGCAATCATTAATGAGGGGGTTTGAGCCCACAAAAGCTGCATTTCTTGTTCTTGATTTTTTCTCCTTGTGACAGGATAGTTGGGGAACACCTTTCTAACACGGGAGTTAATGAGCTGTGAATGGAGGCAGGAAAGGAGAATTGGTACATCAAAGGCTTTGTCCTTCTGCTTGATTTTGTTTGAGGGTTTGGGGACTGGGGTGGGAGGCAGCCCTGCCAGCCGAGTCAATTTGTGGTGTGGGTTGCTTCCCCAGGCCTGGCTGTTCAACTGGGCTCTTCTTGTGCGAGGTCACTGGTGCCAAGCTCACCTTGTCCACTTTTTTCTCTTGTATGACTTTCCATACTTAGCCTTACTAAGACTATTCCTTTGGACTAATGTGTGTTTCTTAGACTGATCTGAAGATATCTAGAGATGAAAAATCCAGCTCTTTCCTTGGTAGTTGGTTCCGGGGGTTAATCATAGAATCACAGAATGGTTTAGGTTGGAAGGGACCTTGAAGACCATCCAGTTCCACCCCCCTGCCCTGGGCAGGGCCACCTCCCCCCAGCCCAGGTTGCTCCAAGCCCCGTCCAACCTGGCCTTGAACACCTCCAGGGATGGGGCAGCCACAGCTTCTCGGGGCAACCTGCCCCAGGGGATCACCGCCCTCTGAGTGAAAAATTTCTTCCTAATATCTAACCTAAATCTCCCCTCTTCCAGTTTGAAGCCGTTCGCCCTTGTCCGATCACTATGTGCCCTAAATCAGCGTGACTGGTAGAAATGTACCTTTACTTTCCATTTTAATTTGCCGGGCTTTAACTTTTACTCATTTCCAGACCTGTCACTCATTTTTTAGGCTTGAATTTACCCCCTCGTTGTTTTCTCTCAGTTGTTGTTATGAATATATTTCCATCAGAAATAGTGGATCATGAATCTGTGATAAGAGGGAATGTTATTTATGCTCAAGTAATTAATACCCCATGATAAGCTCCGTGCATTGCCAGCCGTATCTGCGGCAATATATGAGAGGCATAGTGCCAGAATGCGTTAAGCAGCAGTTTGGTGGATGATGGAGAGGATACTTAATTAAGTTACAGGGAAACTAGGCAAGCTTTCAGTCCGTGCATAAAAGTGACAGCAGTTTCCATTTCAAGGCCAGTAAAACGGTGATAACCACTGAAAGTACTGGTAAGGGCTGAAAGTAAAGCCTAGTTCTGCCGTTTTGCTGGAGGAAGTTGGTTATTTGCCTTACAGGACTGTCTAGGCATCCTGCCTAACCTAGAACCAGGTAGCACAAACAGGCAACTACTTTCCCAAGAAGCATGAAACCTCACTGAAGTCCCAGTGAAGTCTGTGTTTCACGGGCCGATATGAACACAATTCTGGAGTGACTTCAGTGATGCCAGTGGTTCAGCAAGCACTGAAGGTGACTGGTGTGAGCAAACACAGAATTTAGCTCACTGAGGTGAGCTGAACAAGTGAAAAAATATCCTGTTTTAATTAACTCCAGTAAAATCAGGAGTAACTCCTCAGAATTAATGCTATATTTTGGTCGGTTTAGTGAGATCAGAACCAGGACATGAAGTGGTAAAAAGGTGGTAAAGCTTTGCTTTTATTCACAAAGTATTTGAATGATAGTCCATCTCTAAGTGGGGACAGAGAAGAAAACCAAG